GCGATTGATGTGACAAAACTTTGTTCCTGAAATAACTGGTATCGCTTTATTACATAAATTAACCATGGTATATTCAACGGCAGAAAGAGTTGAAATTATCGAAATATTTTTCGGAAATAATCAGTGTGCTAATAGAGCAGCAGAAATATTTAATGAGCGACATGAGAACAGTAACGTGCATCGAAAATATGTTCTAGAACTTGTAGCTAAATTCCGGGAAACTGGGTCAGTCACCAATAAAAAACGCAACATTGAAAATCGCATAAGGAACGAAGCAATAGAAGTGGGGGTTTTAGGGCAAGATTCTAAAGGCCCATAGTTTTCATCCGTATAAAATTCACCTGGTACAAGAACTTAATGAAGAGATTTTGATCGGCGATTACAATTTTGTGAAGATATGCGTGAACGAATTATAAACGATGAACATTTTCTATTCAACACTTGCTTTTCCGACGAATGTTCCTTTTTCTTAAATGGCGTAGTAAATCGTCATAACTGCCGATATTGGTCCGATTCTAATCCCAGAATTTACACAAAAATTAAATGTTTGGGCTGGTGCTTTTGGCGATCATTTAGTTGGTCCTTTTTTCTTACCTGGAAATTCGACCGATGAAAGGTATTTGGCATTATTGGAAGACGCCATAGATCCTGCATTAACAGCCATAATTGAAAATCAGAATGATCGGCGGTACACTGCGAATAGGTTGATGTTCCAACAGGATGGTGCCCCACCACATTACGCATTACGTGTTCGACAATATTTAGATCAGACGTTTCCAGATCGATGGATTGGTAGAAGAGATACCATTGAATGGCCCCCATGATCGCCAGATTTATCACCTTTGAATTTCTTTATGTGAGGTCATTTAAAAAGCAAAATCTATGCTAATCAGCCAAGATCAATAGAAGACCTGCGACAAAGAGTTGTGAATGAGTGCCTTCAAATTACTCCTCAAATATTGCAAAATGTGCAGCAACGTTTTGAGCAAAATCTTTATTATTGCATGGATAGTCATGGTGGCTATTTTCAACATTTACTTGCCTCACGGGTCAGTTCATTCTTCATTTTTAAATGACATTACGGCCAAATGTGTTGATGTCCACTAATGATGATATATTAGTTTTATTTAAAATTTAAATCAATAAATCTTCAAAACTACTGAACTGAAGTACATTAATTTTATATCATTATGAAGGGAATTGAAAGACCTTTAAAATAAGGTATCACTCGACCCCACTTTCCATTTAAGATTTTGGAGGTGGTGTCACCCCCGCTTAGGGGGCTGCACGTGCTAACGTGATTTTTTGCCAAACTTGTGTCTCCCTCGGAAACAAAATCGACGGGTCTGAGCGTTTTTCAAAAAAAAACTGAGCTGCCAATAAATGCGTCTGTTCGGTTTTCGATGCGCCACCCTAGATATACAGGGTGTTCCATAATTATTGCGACAAAATGATAGGGGTTGCCTTATAAACCCCTGTTCGGAAATATGCCGTTTGGGCTGCAGCAAAAAAAGATCAGTTTCTTGAAACAGCTTACTTACAGTAATTGTTCAAAGTGTCCTCCACATTGCTCAATACACAGCTGTGCACGATTGTTCAATGATCGGCGAACTCTGTGGCATACCCCCGGTATGTCCTGAACATGTGCGGACGCGGCCATCACTCTTCTCAGTAGCTCTTGTTGGTTGGGAACAGGAGTTTCGTACACTAAAGCTTTCAGATGGCCCCAGAGAAAATAATCCAGTGGGGTCAGGTCGGGTGACCGCGCAGGCCAAGGCACAGGGCCACCTCGGCCTATCCACCTATTTGGAAATTTGTCGTCCAAATACTGCCGCACTTGTAAAGAAAAGTGGGCTGGAGCGCCATCGTGTTGAAACCACACGTTGGCTCTTATGTGGTGGAAGCAAATATGGCCTGATGATATGATCCACAATGCCGCACCAGATGTTAATTGAAAACTGATGTTGGTCTCTATGGATATCTATGGCATGAGGATTTTTTTCATCCCAAATGTGACTGTTACGGCTATTAAAATAACCGTCCTTTGTAAAACAGGACTCGTCAGTGAACAAAACGTAGCGACCAAAGTTTGGTTGCCTCAACTCCTGCTGCAGCCACCAACGACAAAAACATCGACGCGGCAGATAGTCTTCTGGACACATGGCTTGGACTTTTAAAAGGTGGTATGGGTGTAGTTGCTGGTCATGGAGAACCCGCCAAACAGTAGTTTGAAACGCTCCCATATCATGTGCAATAGCACGCACGCTTATACGCGGATTGGCCTCCACATAATTCAGAATCGCTTCCTCAAATTCTACTGTGCGCCTCGTGAAGGGCCACCCTGCTCCTGCGAGGTGTCTGATGCTGCCACTGACACGAAGTCGTCCATGAATCCTTGCAAAAATGGCGTGATGCGGATGAGGACGTTCTGGAAACCGTTGGGCGTAGATTCGCGAGGCTCGTCTTCCGTTACCACCAGCTTCTCCGTAAATTAAATGCATATCCGCAAGTTCCGCATACGAATAACGCTGCATTTTAACACTAAGGTACTGTTATTTACTATTTAGTTTGACGCACCACTCAGATAAATTAAATGAATCGGTGTGGAGAATTTGCGATAACAAAAATGTAAACACAGCAGGCTTTTTTTTACAAATGTGCTAGACGAACATTTTGCAGCTAGTGAATTTTTTGTTTCTCCTATGAGCTCTTAAGGTAAAATTAGCGGTAGTGCTCAAACGGCATATTTACGAACAGGGGTTTATAAGGCAAAATTGCATATTTTTATGCCCTCTACAACCCCTATCATTTTGTCGCAATAATTATGGAACACCCTGTATAAAGTGTCTCATAGATAACACTGCCAACACACTCGTATACTGATATAATTGGCTACACCGCACGTCAAATCTAGAAGTATATAAAGTGGATAGAGGAACAGCTGTGACAGGTACAAGAGATGTCTTTTAAGTTTTGCATATGGAAATAAAACAACACGGTAGGTAGTTTTAAATAACTTTATTGTTTTTCGAAGTATTCTCCACGAAGATTAATACACATCTGCATGCTCTCGAACCAATTTTCGAAGCACTTATTCCACTCGTTTGCTGGCAGATCCAAAACGGTATTTTTGAATGCGTCAACTGCTTCTTCTGGTGACTGGAACCTTTGACCACGCAGTATGTTTTTAATTTTCGGGAAAGTAAAGTAAAGAAATGGTTAGGACTTAGATCGGGACTATATGGAGGATGGCCCAATAATTCCACGTTTTCTTTCGTTAAATACTGCCTTGTTTTTTGAGCTATGTGCGAGCTTGCATTGTCTTGCTGGAGGATGATTCTTCTTTCGGGGTTGATTTTTTGAAGCTCGGTGATGACTTTTCTCAAACAAATGGTGATATACCAAACCGCAGTACAGTTCTTTGCTCATTAAGAGGAATTGATGCAATATGACCCGCTTTTGACACAAATGTCGCGACCATCTTTTTCGAAACACTTCGAGAGCGGATGACTTTTGTTGGCTTTTCTTCACCTTGGAACACCCAAACAGCTGACTGTCGTTTATTTTCTGGTTCATAACAGTAAATCCACGATTCATCACCACTAACACAATACTGTACACATTTTTTGAGTTCCCGGAATTGAAACGGTCAGGCGTTTGTTGACACCAACTAACCCTGGCTGCTTTCTGCTCTTCAGTCAACAGGTGGGGTATCCAACGAGAAACTAATTTTCCTCCTAATTCTTCATGTAAAATTTTTTGAATTGAGGTCTTTGAGATCTTCAAGGACGCCTCAATCTCGCGATATGTCACATGTCTATCTTCAATGATGAGTTTACGCACACGTTTTCCTGGGTGACGGCCATTTTTGGTGCACCCACCCTGGGATCGTCGCTAAGACTCACCCGTCCACGTTTGAATTCTCCATACCAACCGCAAATTGTCGACTGATGTGGCGCTTCGTTGCCGAAAACAGACAGTAACTCAGCAAGGTATTCTTGTTGCGATAATTGTCTCTGAAGGTTGTTATAAATTATGGCGCGAAAATGTTCTCGGTTGAGTTGCATTTTTCTAATGACTTGGTGACACTTAAAAATTCACTGTACTGGGAACACTGCACGTATTGTTGTGAAACTTTGAACTTAAGTTTACTAAAGAGTGAGGTTAAGATTCAGTACTGACGTTGGACCCGCGCGGCCTACTATGTTTCTATATGCAAAATTTAAAAGACATCCCTCTAATGCCGGCCACTCACGTTCCGGTAGACCTGAGAGGTATGCCTGCACAGGCGTGCCTGTACAGGTATACTGCAACGTGTGTGTGAGCAAACCTGCGCAGTTCGGAGCAACTGTGTAGGTGACCGGAGCAGAATTGAAAATCGATTCGGTGTACCTGTGCCAGAGTGTTGTCGTACGATGTACCGGAACGTGTGTGCCGACTAACCTGTACAGTTCGTCAGTTTTTTCGGTAATTGGATACGAAGGCCACTTGTTTTTTTAATAAAATGGCGTTAAGTACGGAAGAACAACGTCGAATAATTGCTGAGTTTATAGAAATTTATAAATTTTCGCCCTGTTTATGGCGAATTAAGGCGAAAGAATATCATGATCGTGCAAAAAGGGATGCAGCATATAAGACACTTGTGGAGAAACTGAAAGAATTAGATCCTACAGCCGATAAAAATGCTGTAATAAAAAAAATTAATAATCTAAGAAGCAATGTAAGAAAAGAGAAAAAAAAATATGAAGATTCTGTTAAATCGGGAGCATCCGCAGATGAAGTTTATCACCCTAAGTTGTGGTACTACGACTGATTTGTCTTTCTTGGTGACCAAGAAACGCCAAGAAATTCCACATCGAACTTGAATGCAGATGAGGAGACTTTATCTGAGGTAAATTAATAAAACACAATCTATTATTATTTATATTCATTATATATTTAGTTAATATAATTGTGTTGCCATGGTACGCTGCCCTCATGATTATGAAATTTTCCCTAACATTTTTTGCTGTATCATTGATATTGCCGGGGTTTCGTTGCTCTAAATTTTCCATGCTAGAGTTTTGTGTATTGTATCCATAATTAATAACGGTTCCGTCAGCATTTTCTTCTTGAACACATTGTTTAGGTGCGTATGATTTTGGTGAATTTTCTATTAGAAAATTGTGCAGCACAACTGCGGCCATTACTATTTTAATAATGTTTTCAGGTTCAACATTAATTTGAGTATGAAATATACGAAATCGTGCAGCCAATATTCTAAACGTATTTTCGATGATGCGCCTTGCACGAGACAATCTATAGTTAAATATTTTTTTCTCGTTCGAGTTCAAGTCCGCTTGTCGAAATGGTTTCATCATATCGCTGCGTAAAGCAAAAGCGTCGTCGGCGACAAACACATACGGCAGATTCCTACCATTTCCTTTGACATATTCTTCGGTTGGGATACGTAAATCACCTTTTGTCAACATTTCGAAAAATTTTGTGTTTTGGAGAACACCTCCATTCGAAATTCTTCCATTGGTCCCAAAATCTGCTAAAATAAATTGATATTTGGCATTTGCAATTCCTAAAAGAACCATACTGTGTCGGCCTTTATAATTAAAAAATTCAGAGCCACTTCCAGCCGGCGGAATGATGTCAATGTGCTTGCCGTCGATTGCGCCCAAACAGTGTGGAAAGTTCCATCGTGCCTCAAATAAATCTGCTATTTCTTTCCAATCTTCCTGGCATTTTGGAAACTGAAAAAATAAAACAATAAAATTACAATGTTTACAAAATTACAAATAAATATAATATTACAAATAAATACTAAGTATATATTACAAATAAATACTAAGTATATATTACAAATAAATACTAAGTAATATTATTTTAATGTTAATAATATTGTTTATTTTAGGTTGAGTCAGTACAAGAAAACGTTGACTCGGAATGTCCATCTCAAGCACAACCTACAACAGATGGTACCGAATCGCTAACGCAAAATGAGAAGGTTGCGTGTTCTTCAAAGAGTGGCACAGTGACTATTTCTCGATCAAGGCCAGGAAAAAACAACTACGATTCTTTAACCAAGGATGTTTTGACCACTGTGCAAGAACATTTTAAGCGTCCACGTACAGAGGAAGACCGTTTTGATGTTTTTGGGAAAACTGTTGTATGAAACTAAGAGAAGTGGACAAAAGGCAGAGTCTAATTGCAGAAAAAATAATCAACGATGTAATGTTCGAGGCTGAACTGGGCGGCCTTACACTGCAACATAGATGCGTTAACATGCAGGAAATGTATAATGCAAGAAATCCTAACATGCAGCAACACCAGCCACTTATATTGCCTTGCCAGTCGGCTTCCAATTCTACATCATATTCGTCCTCTACCAGCTTTATTAGTACCCCTGCTACGCTACAAGTCCAAATTGTCAATTCCAACAAAACAATTCAACAAAACTGTCTTCTGATGATGTAGTGGTTGTACGATTGAACAATACATCTGCTGCTTCTTATTTTACCGAATTCACAGACGATCAAGTGGTAAAAGAATTTTGAAATCCCCTTAGATAAGGAAATCCTAAAGTGCACAAAAACCCTGTTTTTGCCAACTTTTAAGGTTATGTACACCCGCAGACTTTTTTTTAAATTCTTGAAAATGTACATTCAGGCTCCTAAAGTACAAGTCATCATCTATCAAATAATGCCGTTATTAATAATAATTATTAATATTCCTACTTAAATAATTTGTAATAAATACGTTTTAAAAAATAATAATTTGTCTTTTACTTACTTTCAAGTATTGTTTGCGCAGAACTTTATACAAAGCATCATACGTTTCGGGAATTATTTTTCCCAGGGCCTGAGGTGAAATAATTGTAGAATACTTCAAGTCTTCATAACTTCTTCCTGTTGCTAGGAATCTTAGAGTTGCAGTTAATCTTTGATGAGGTGAAATGGATTTTCTCATTACAGTATCCTTCTTTATAATAAAAGGACTCACCAAAGAAAGCAATTTTAAATATGTTTTCTCATCCATTCGTAGATAGTTTTGAAAATCTTTAGGTTCAAATTTTAACTCGTTCAATAAATTGACGTGACTGTAACTTTTTCGCTTTAGTATCCAATCTTTGCACCATTTTTCCCGTTTTTTCCTTACACGTTTATTTAAAGTCAATAAGAGTGCTAGCACAGCCAATGCACATCACCTTTCGACGCCATCATCAACTGAACAAATTCTAGAATTTCACAATAGCGTGTGTGGGCTTGTCAGGTCTTCGGTATACCTGTACAGTTTTACCTGCACAGTTGTACCTGCACAGGTCTACCGGAACGTGAGTGGCCAACTTTACTCATAGATGAGGTTACGGTATCTCATTTTATATTGAATATTTTTTGGATGCTGGAATATAGCATTAGGTTGGTCATCTTCCGGTAGAATACGTTAATAATAATATTGTCCCACTTAGCCCTTAACAAATATAAATTGACATAAAAAAATCTAAGTAGAATAAAATGTGTACAGTACCTACTAAATATTAGTATTGTATAAATATCACATAAATCCATCTATGATATCAACATTATGTTTCAAAATGACCTGCATAAGTCATGCTCATAATTGAGAGGAATGATATGTGATGATTGACTTTAAATTTGTTGTTGATATAACTTAACAATGAATTTGTGAGTGAATACAGTTCTTTTTTCGAAAACCGTACAGAGATGGAGCTAGAATTAAAAAATTGCTTAATTTCACAGAAAACGGTGTTTTCAGTTTTTAAAAGCGCTAAGGGTCGATGATGGTCGAGATTTTTTTATGTTATTCTCATCTACTTTTTTTGTATTCTGGAACTATGAAATACATTCGAAAATACAGTAATTAGCTTTGAAAGGTAGATGCAACATCTGAGAGGGTACACTATGTAACTCATCGCTGTTATCAGTACTCTACAAGAAATCTGATCTACTGTTGCAGAACTAGTTTTCTTCAAAAATATTATAATCTAAATACTACTATCTAATTCGTCAGTAATTGAAGTATGACAAATTTTCTTAGGCTCAAAACTAATTTACAGCTGTTTACATTAGTCTCACTCAACACTTTACTAGGTATTTCACTATTTCACTAAGCAGGTTCTTAAGGTTTTCCGCAGTGCATGCACGATCAGATATTAAAGTATCTATCTTCCTTAAGTTTCTTATGCAAGCCATAAATTGTCCAAAGTGCTCATTATTAATTATTTAATTTCAATAACTCTCTCAATGCTTTACAAACTTCCATCTTTTTTCAATTTGTGCTTGTAGCACAAACCTAACAAAAAGGAAGCCGTAACTTTCCGATCCCTTCGAGCCAGTTTTTTCGCGCTCGCTATTCGTACGTCCTTGTTTACGGAATCATAGAAAATTTAAATCAACTAGGGTATCGTAAACCGGACCGTCCCCGTCGATTTTCGAGCCATAAAAAAACGCTGCTGCGGATCACATAAACAGTTCTCAGATACGGACCAACTTTTCGAATAAAAGATAAGGACCCCAACGTCCCTCCTATCCTTACTCTTGCTCTAAAGTTGTATGAGGATATGCAAAGGTTTATCTTGTGATCCTTGGAAAATGAAGACTTGGTATCAATCAGATTTTGGGTACAGCTGCGTTAACACAGGACGATGCTTTGACGGTGATGATAGCTTGGTAGTGGAACTTGTATTGGAGGAATATATATACAGGGTGTCCGCAAAGTTGGGGTTTTCCTTTTCAGAAACAAATACCCTTGAAATAACAAAGGTAATGTGTAGTGAAACGAGGGCGACCAAGTATAAAAAAATAAAGGAAGAAGTACTCACTCTCCAGTTGACGAGAATGTCTCTGCCTGAAATCGAAAGTTATTCACCCCATTACGCGTGAACGTAGATTCGTCTGTCACCATTGTGCACTTCAAAAAGTCCGGATTATTGTCATGTTGATGCAACAACCACTCACAAAACCGCACTCTTGCTGGAAAATCGTCAGGTTGAAGGGCTTCTACACGTCGGACGTTTGCCACACTTTAGTTTTTGATACTTGCACTTCTCTAGCCACGTCTCTAGTGCTTGTTGAGGGATTCTCGTCTATGCGATTCAGTAGTTCTTCCTCAACTTGCACCATTCGTGGTTGTCTAGGCCTCCCACTGTGCCCACCTCGAAATTCCTCCAAATGGCCCGTATCCCTGACTCTCTGGACCAGGTACACAAAACTGCGGGGCCTTGGATGATGTCGTCTAGGGAAACGATCTGCATACACTCGCGACGATTCTGTATCATTTTGAAGACATTCGCCATAAATTAACAACATATCAACGAGTTCATTATTGGTGTATGAGTGTGCCATTATTATTTTTTTTTTTGAAACGCAATCGATTATACGGGTTCGTTACCTCTATACGCGTGACCTTTACCGTCAGTTGAAGGTTGCATACTGACCTGACACACTGACCTCGACCCCCGACCCAGTTCTGTCGTCGGGTTCAGCTAGTAGCCGGTACCAGTCTGGGACGTCGCGGCGGGTGGCGGCTACAGGTCGGTATTCAGATATTTTTGATGTTGCAGAGCCCTTTATCTCGGTTCCCTTAAGACATTGGTGTATATGGTACTAAGAAAAATTGCTTATGTTTTCAAGATCTACACGTCGTGTAAAAGAAAACCCCAACTTTGCGGACACCCTGTATATATACAGGGTGGCCAAACACGTGACGTCATAAAAAAAATTAGATTCCCCACATCGAGAGGAACCCAAATCACCCCCATATATATGGTCCGATTTTGTTTAGTTTAGGAGTTATGATTTTTTTTCGGATTTTTCGAGAATTTTTGAGTTCTGTGTTTATTTTTACCATAACTTCGTTAATATATAATACCGGGAACAACTTATACGCCGAGGCGGACCACAACCTGAGCATTACCCAGACCACCGTGTTTTTATTAACACACATAACACTTTCATGGCAGGCCGCATTCCAGGACGAGGAAGCAATGAAGGATATCCTACAGCTAATCCGGATCGCAGAGAAGTAGTACTTGAAGAAATTAGCCGGAATCCCTCAACGAGTACGAGATCTATGGCACAAAACCTTAGAATACCACGAACATCGATACAAAATATTCTTCATGAAGAAGGTTATCATGCCTATCATGTTCAAAGAGTTCAAGCGTTGATGCCTTCAGATTACCAGTTAAGAGTGGATTTCTGCGAGACAATGCTGCGAAGACAACGAGAGGATCCCGATTTTTTTGATAAAATTTTATGGACTGACGAGTCACGTTTTGAAAGAACAGGGATATTCAATATCCATAATTTACATACTTGGGCTGTTGAAAACCCCCACCACTCAAGGCCGTCGACATTTCAACACCGTTTTAGTGTGAACATGTGGTCAGGAATATTCAATATGGAATTTATCGGTCCATTTGAACTGCCGTCAAGATTGGATTCGGTAGCCTACAAAAGCTTCCTTGAAAATAGCCTACCATTATTGCTGGAAGATTTAAGCCTGGAAGCCAGACGGAACGTGGTGTTCCAGAATGATGATGCACCATGCCACAACGCAACGATCGTGCGAAACTACTTAAACGAAAGGTTCCCAGACAGATGGATCGGACGAAACGGACCGATACGATGGCCTCCACGCTCCCCTGACCTCAACCCCATTGATTTTTTTGTTTGGGGATATTTTAAAGACATAACATTCGCCCAAGAATGTGCAAATGAAAATTCATTGA